AAGACGGCGAGGGATCAACCTGTTGTTGTCTGTTGTCGTGTTGAATGTCAACACGTGCCCCGGCTCGCGGTCACCTGCAAATCATCAATTCGGATCACGTTCGGAACGTCCCAGACCTTCCAGTTCGATCAGTTTCCAACGGTTAGTATCTGCCTCTCGAACGATGGCCAGTATGTACACACATAGAGGTTGGATATAATGAGCTAGGAATCTGATCCGTACGCACCCTAGCGACGTTAGTGCGTTAGCAACTCCCTGAGTCTTAGTTTCATGCTTTGATACATCAAAGATTCAGCGGCCCATTTGTAGCAAAGTGAGGCCTCAAAATGTGACAAGGCCTCCAAATACAATAATTAGGAAGAGATTCATGGCTTTTCATAGCAGTGCCTGCAGTAGGGCAACAGAAATCGATCGTCAAGCACTTGTGAGTTCAACGCCAGGAACCCGGGTGGGCAACGTACCTTGAAGTACTGAGTGTTGTCCGGGTGGTCGGTCATCGCTTCCGACGTGATCATGAATGCAAGCCGGCTGCATTCAATGATCTCCCCCAATTGTGCCTCATCCGCGTTCTCGCTTCCCTCATGCGCTGCGGAGAGAACACTCATGAGTCCGACGAATCCATCCATCTCCCTGAACACGTCCTTCGTTGCGGATAGCGAGTCTTGGAGCATAATGCGCTGTATCTCGACCAGCGTCTGCACACGCGAGTGAGTCCGACAAACCGGATATGACACAGAGGTCGAGCGGGCGTACCTCCATCCTCGAGTGTGTGTCCTGCGACATCTTCAGCTTCTCCACGGAGTTCCGCATGAGCTCGACCAGCACATCCCTCGCAAAGTCCTCCGGGTTTTCAAGCTCATCCTCCTCAGCGACAATCGGCGTGACGATGTTTTGGGTGACAGCGGAGCGTGGCGACGAGTCGAAGCGCAGCCTGAGCGGTGTCAGGAGCGTCCGGAACATGACGGGGCCGCTCGCGCTACGTCGCTGAGCAAGAGGCGCAAAGTAAATGACAGGCAGCAGCCTGCCACAGGTCTGATCTGTTGCGACGGACTCTGATATTTTCCACGTGCTGTGATGGCGGGATGGAATCTTATCTTATCTCCGCTATTCGGGTCCGGTTGTCTGTCGATTTCATAGCTTGACGATCGATTTCTGTTGCCCTACTGCAGGCACTGCTATGAAAAGCCATGAATCTCTTCCTAATTATTGTATTTGGAGGCCTTGTCACATTTTGAGGCCTCACTTTGCTACAAATGGGCCGCTGAATCTTTGATGTATCAAAGCATGAAACTAAGACTCAGGGAGTTGCTAACGCACTAACGTCGCTAGGGTGCGTACGGATCAGATTCCTAGCTCATTATATCCAACCTCTATGTGTGTACATACTGGCCATCGTTCGAGAGGCAGATACTAACCGTTGGAACTGATCGAACTGGAAGGTCTGGGACGTTCCGAACGTGATCCGAATTGATGATTTGCAGGTGACCGCGAGCCGGGGCACGTGTTGACATTCAACACGACAACAGACAACA